CTTATACGAGAGCCAACTCTCATCCATTATGTCCGGCACGTCAGAGGGTTTCTCAAGAAGCCTACATATGACGCCATGTGAATCGGCTCTTGAATGGTGGGAGGGACCTCTTCAATGATGACAGTGGCCTCTTGAACGGTGTGAGGGGACTCTCGAGGAATGATAGGGGGGCCTCTTCAACGATAGGAGTGGACTCTTGAGGATTGACAGGCGAGTCGGGCTTCTTCTTGCGGTGTCTTCGCACTATTGGGGTGTACGGAGACTTAATAGCACGTGCACGCTGTCTGATGCGTGAACTCCGTCGTGCAAGCTAACCCGACGTAAAGCATCCACTCTATCGGGCCGCTAAATAATTAAATACAAAATCAGTAAATAAACAGACATGATTTAAACAGTGAAAACAAAGACAAATATGTTTCAAACTTGCATTGTATTCACCCAAGTCATTATTCTATCATAGTTCACAAAATGCATCAGATAACAAAGAAAATATGTTCAAACTAATACCCTGAAGTTAGTATTTGTCTTTGTTTGTCTATTGGTTGAAGTAATGCAATCCATTCAAGTTTCAATTTGCAGAAGAAGAAATAGTTTACTTTCGCAACACGAAACTTAAAATCGCAACGCGAAATGAGAATCGCAACGAGAAACCAAAATCGCAACGCGAAACCAAAATCGCAACGCGAAATGAAAATCGCAACGACAGAATCGCAATGCGAAATGAAATCGCAACGAGAGAATCGCAACGCGAAATGAAATCGCAATGCGATTTTGGTTTCGCGTTGCGATTTTGTCGTTGCGATTTTGGTTTCGCGTTGCGATTCTGTCGTTGCGATTTTCATTTCGCGTTGCGATTCTCTCGTTGCGATTTTAAGTTCGTGTTGCGAAAGTAAACTATTTCTTCTTCTGCAAATTGAAACTTGAATGGATTGCATTACTTCAACCAATAGACAAAACAAGACAAATACTGACTTCAGGGTATTAGTTTAGCAGAATTGGCAGCAACCGAACAAATTTACTTTCAACCAAAAGACAAAACAAAGACAAATACTATTTCACAGTGTTAAAGAATACACAGTTTAGCAGAATTGGCAGCAACCAAATAAATTTACTAAGCAATCTAAGTGAAATGGCTAATCTAAGTGAAATTACGAGTAAATTTATCATTAAGTTAAATATGGAAAATATTAAACTTACCTCGTTGCGTAGAGTATGAACCTCATTCTGCAACAATACTATCATCTCACGTAGAGCGGCAACCTCACAACGTAAAGTTGACACCTCCACACGCCATGCACAATCGTTATCGCGTAGAGTACCGATCTCCTCACGCAAGGCATTGACCTCATCACGTAACTCATCCCGTGGAGGTGGAGAACAAGGAGATAAATGTCGTGGCCTCTTTACCGGTCGCCTATCATGAGGTGATGGTGGAGAAGAGGCTCGATGATGTGACGGATAGGTGATGGCTCTCGTTCTAGAGGTGTATAGTCGGGTCGATCGGGTGATGGCTCTGGGTGAGGTGAGGCTCTCGAATTGGAGGAAGTGGATGCTGCTCATCATCCGTGCCATCAAAAAACTCTGACTAGCTTGCCACCAATCAGTGGCAAGCTCTTCCTCCGTGGGTGTCAGTCTTTGTAATGGAATGTTGGCCTCCTAACAATATAAAAACTCAAACAAAGTTAAACGTCTACTATTAATAACTTGTTTATATTATATGAAAGTATTTGTGTTAACTTACATTATTTATTGTCGCATATGGTATTAAGTCTTCCCAATCCAACAGATTTTTCCTCTTTCAGGAAATAGCCCTGGGAATATCATTTGACGTTTTTATTGCATATGTACGCATGCTGGGGAAAGCCTCGAATATCCAAATCTACAAACAATATAATAACAAAATTAGTAATTGTTAAATAATTAATTATAATTTTAGAAACATTATATAGAAATTCTTACCTTAAAGGCCCAAACAAAGCATGACAAAGTGTATTTCGACCCATCGCCACGCAAACTTTTGCGGTCATCAAAGGCAGTAGACAACTTAGTCCAGGTAGCTTTCCATATATACGAACCCCACGGAAACAGATTCCATGCATTCAGGTCCTCTACCAATATTATTAGCTCCCGAGGAATAGGTTGTCTGGCCTCTCTGCCTAAAAAGCCGACATACACAAGTAGTAGAAGGCATACTCGGACAACATCGACGTCATCCATCCGAGTGAAACCAGCTTTCTTATTAAACAATTTCTTCAGGTCGTCGACGTGTAGGTTCGGCTTCTCCATTGACTCATCCGGAAAAACCCGGGATAACCATGATGGGCGGGCGATATGACGAGTGTACCGGCCTACATCATCGTGTCCGAATCGTAGACCAGTGATTAAGCAGAACTCCTTCCGCCCAAACAAGTATACGCTGGTGGAAAATGAAACCATATCTCTTCCTCACCACGTTGTATACTGTCGGGTAGATTTGATGTCATGGTCTGAAGCCACAAATTGGTCAAATTAGCATCTCCACCTGGATGTTGTACTCTCAGCCATGGCCCGAAGCAGGTTTCCTCAAACAATTGTCTTTGTGCAGGTGAAAGCTTCGAAGCAATTGTAGTGGCTAGGCTAACTTTATTCCTTAATGTCAATGAAGCCGAAAAAATTTCTACAAAAACAATAACATACCAAGTTAGATATACCAAAAACTACACTGTGAAGATATACCAAAAACAATAAACATAAAAAAGTAGTAGTTTATTCTTGAAACTAAATTTGCAACACTGTTTTGTCTTTTGGTTGAAATGAAAATCGCAACGAGAGAATGACTGTCGCAACGAGAGAAATGAAAATCGCAACGAGAGAATCGCAACGCGAAATGAAAATCGCAATGAGAGAATCGCAACGCGAAATGAAAATCGCAATGCGATTTTGGTTTCGCGTTGCGATTCTCTCGTTGCGATTTTCATTTTTCTCGTTGCAGATAGTCATTTTCACGTTGCTATTTTCATTTCTCTCGTTGCGACTCTTCTGCAAATTGAAACTTGAATGGATTGCATTACTTCAACCAAAAGACAGAACAAAGACAAAGACAAATACTAACTTGAAAATCGCAACGAGAGAATAGCAACGCGAAATGAAAATCGCAACGAGAGAATCGTAACGCGAAATGAAATCTAAGTGAAATGGTTAATCTATTATTGAAATGACCAGTAAACTTATCATCAGTTTCAATATGAAAACCTACAATAATGCAAAAATTTCAAAATAAAAATAATTAAAAAAAACTAACCCTCGGAGATTGATTTTCCATTTCTGAATATTGTGAGGGATTTCTGACCGTGAATGGTTGTGAGGGATTTCGCCGGAGATGGGGACGGAAATCTTCGGAGACGGGGACGGATTTCGCCGTAGAGAGTGAGAGATGGAGATGGACTGAGTTGTGATTTTAGGTTTTAGGTTATGAGTTGCGATTACGGGATTTTGTCTTAATATTCGTTTTTGTAATTTGAAAATAAAATACGCGTAGCGATTATAATGGCGCTTTAAAAATCGCGTTGCGATTTACGGATACGCGTTGCGATTTTACGTATTGTCGTTGCGATTTACGGATACGCGTTGCGATTTTACGTATTGTCGTTGCGATTTACGGATACGCGTTGCGATATACGGATACGCATTGCGATTTACGGATACGCGTTGTGATTTACGGATACACGTTGCGATTTACGGATACGTGTTGCGATTTATGTGTTCGCGTTGCGATTTTCATATTCGCGTTGCGATTCTGGAAAATCGCAATGCGAATTTGTACTATCGATTGCGATTTTCAAGAATCGCGTTGCGATTTTGGAAACTGATTTGCGATTCTGGGGATCGCGTTGCGATTTTTATTTCGCGTTGCGATTTTGTTGGTCATTTTGGCAAATCCAAAAAAAGTTGGTTAAAATCGTATATTATAAGGCATTTTTGGTCACTGAGGCGATTTTCTCTTTTTAAAAATATCCTCCAAAAAGTATTAAACTTTGGTAAAATTATTATACAAGCCTCTATACTTCAGAACATTTTGTGTTTTTGTCTCATATTTTTAGAATAAGTAAAATAATCTTCAAATTTACGATCTTGAACGTTGATCCATATTAAGACCTGTAAAAGGTTTTTTTTTTGTTAAGGTAAATTAGTGAAAAGATGATAAAGAGTAAATTTAAAGTTAACAAGTATGATAATTGTGATTGTAATAAAAATGATATGTGACTCAAGATGAAAAGTTGTGGTGATTGTAATGAATTTTAGTAATCAACTTACAAAAGAGAATACATCAGACATTGAGTCCCAAAATCATTCTCCGAATGACATCCCAAATGAGAAACAAACTCGTGAATCATATTCAACTCTTAACTTAGCTCATTCCAAACATTGATTTTGTGTTTTTTATTTATTGTGAAAATCATGTTTAATGCATTGTTCATAACACAATTAATGTACTACATATGATACTCTTTAAGTCTTAATGTAAAGTGTTCAATATATTATTTAAATGAGGTAGAATTAATTAAATGGGCTAAAATTAATTGACAATATGATAGTGACATATTTATTCAATGATTTCATTGATAATAAATAGTTAATAGTTTAATTGTTAATTTATGAAGTGATTTTAATGATAAAATAAAATATTATTTTCAAGGATATTAGTTTAAATAATTGTATTTGAAAACTGTATGTATATTGATATAAATTTTAAAAAAATTAATTTATAATCACTACAAATTAATAAAAAATAATTATGATATAATAAGTTAGATTGGAAGGTGAAATGTACCCATAACATGATGTGTTAATCAACGCCATATCACGCGGTAGCCTTTGAAAGTCAGCAATCGAAAGCTGCCTTCCACCCTCTTCAGTTTCTAATAACGACAACATCAATATCTTATTCCCAATCATCACCCTCCACGTGTCATTTCAAACACAGCCCAAGTTGATTTATATATAAACCCCCTCGGTTGCTAGACTTGCTTCGTTTTCTTCAAGATCAGATCAGTGAGGGAATCGAAGCTATGGCCGAGAAGGTTCGTTCTCTCTTTCGTTTGAATTTTTTGTTTTCATTTTTTTTCACCATGCATTCTGATAAGTGGTGAGCTTTGTAGGTGACCATAATGGTGCTGAAGGTGGACCTTCAGTGCTTCAAATGCTACAAGAAGGTCAAGAAAATGCTCTGTAAATTCCCCCGTGAGTTTTCTTTTACTCAGTTGGTCGATCATTGAACTGAAGTTCTCAAAACTGGTGTCTGAGTTTATGTTTTTTTTTTCTGTTATGAACAAGAGAAATACGAGACCAGATATACGATGAAAAGGCCAACACTGTGACCATCACTGTCATTTGTTGTAGCCCGGAGAAGATCAGGGACAAGATATGCTACAAAGGTGGCGGATCCGTCAAGAGCATTGAGATCAAGTCGTCGGCGAAACCCAAGGAGCCGGAGAAGCCGAAAGAGGCGGAGAAGAAGTCCGAGAAGTCGAAAGAGGCCGAGAAGAAACCTGAGAAGCCGAAAGAGGCCGAGAAGAAAGCCGAAAAGCCGAAAGAAGCTGAGAAGCCTAAAGAGTCTGGGGAGAAGAAGGCCGAGAAACCAAAAGAAGCTGAGAAGCCTAAAGAGGGTTGGGAGAAAAAGGCTGAGAAACCCAAAGAGGCGGCGCCCGCGCCGGCGGCGAAGGCTATGGAAGCGGCTCCTTTACCGCCAGTGGCGTATGCGATTGGGTATTCATATATGGATGGCTATGGTGGTGTGGGGCCTAGCTATTGTGGTGGACCTAGCTATTACGGTGGACCATCTCAACAACCGTTTCAAAATTACGAGACTATTGGTAGGCCGGTCTATGATAGCTGGGGAAGCGGCGGCGGATACTACAACGGTTACACTTATGGCGGTGGACGTGGCGGTGGAAGTTTTAGTGATGAAAACCCACAAGGGTGCTCAATCATGTGAGGAAGAAAGCGTTGGTGAACTGCATATAGTTTGATCTCGAAGATACTAATAAGCTCTCATGTTTTTTTTAAAAATAATAATCTCTCATGTTACTTGTTCAAAATGGAGTCATTTGTGAATTTTATTTATTTTTATATTTCTTTTAAGAGTTCTAGAAATCATGAATGATTAACGAGTTCAATGGCGGTGGCGGTAGTAGTGGTGGTGGTGGTTTGGGGTTCTTTCCGAGCTTGCAAAAATGTATTTTATCGTAGTTCTAATAAATAAATAAATGAAGGTTCTAATTTGTCATAGCATTGGTTTTAATATGTGAAGAAGGAAATTGATTAACAAAACAAAAAAAAAAGGTTAAATCAATTAAATTCTTTAGTCAGGTCATTGAATAGTTCGAATATGAAATACAAATTAAAATTTTATGTAAAAGATACTTAGCATGTGAAAATCAAATTATATATATATATATATATATATATACGTTTATTATATGAGTAGTTTGGATTTATCGTGTTTAATAAAAAATGAGTCTATTAAAATAAAAAGAATGTATTTTAAATTTTATTTGATATTATTTTTTTATTATGACAAAATCATGTAGTATAGGGAACATAATCTATGTAAAAATTAATTTTGTGGAGCAAATTTAAATAAAAGTAAAATAAATGATCGAATTTTAGTTGTTAAATCATCAGTTTAAAATAAAATACGTAAAGATTATGACATATTTTATTTAATAAACCTAGAAATGTATTTAAACTAAAAATGATAGGTAACAACTTAATTTACCTAGTTTTAAAATTAGAAGAGACGTAAATAAAACAATTATACTAAAAAAATAAAGTATTAAATCTAATTCACCTCTCCAGTATTATACAAAGTTCCGTCTCCAGTATTATGAGAACATAATTAGAACATTTTAAAATTTAGAAACTAATTTAAAATCTAGACAATAGATTAGGGACATAAGCGGAATTAACCCATATATAGTCGTGAAAAGAAGCGATGAGTTATACAATAATTGAACCATTCCATGCAATGCATCCAAAGGGAAAAAGGTCAGCTCCGGTGGGCGCTCGCAGACACCAATACGATGACGTCAAATTATCAAACACTACAAACCCAACAGTGCCTAATTATCTTTCATAAAAAATACACACCGCCCCATGTATATAGAGGTCCAATTCCAAGCCAAGAGATGGTCTTCTGTTGCATGCATGTGATGGCAATGCATTGACAACAATAACCACTTCTAACAAACCAAGCTAATATTAATTGGACTAAAACCATAGTTATCAAAACCGGACCGGACCGGCTGGTTCAACCGGTTAAACCGTGAACCAGTGGTCTGTCTAATCCGATTACCTCACAAAACCGGACTGACAATGAACCGGCTGAAAACCGGTAAAACCGGGGTGAACTGGCTGAAAACCGGCAAAACCAGTTTGAACCGTCGGTTCACTTTTTTTCTTTTTAAAAAAATTAAACCAAACGACGTCGTTTGTTCAACGAGCCAAGCCAAATTCGAGTATTGCTGAGCTCGACTCGAATTCGAAAACTTTAAAAGTAAGCTCAACTCGACTAAAAAACTCACGAGCTAACACTTATCAAGTTCAACTCGAACACGAAATATAATATTAAAACTTGAACTCGAAAAGGCTCGAACTCAAAAAAAATTTAGAAGTTCGATTAAAGCCTAAAATTTGAACTCAATTGAAGCGAAAGAATAATTCACTCTATGATCACCAAAAGTCTTCATGATTTTGAATGTCAAATTACCTCTATTATTTATAGAAGTAAGTTGGGATGCTCTTCTATGTTTCTTAGTCATGTGAGATTGTTTTGTTCTCATATTTTTACTCTTTAAACTTTTGGGATGCTCTTCTATGTTTCTTAGGCATGTGTGATTGTTTTTTAAAAAAAAATAAACCAAATGACATCATTTGTTATGCTTTTTTTAAGCCCCAATTTTATTTTTTTGATTATTTTTATATAATTATATTTATTATTTAATATGTTTTACCTTAAATATTATGTTGTAGTTGATTTGAATCATTTTGTTTCACTTGATTTTATGGTTTTTAATTTATATATGATATGATTTGTGATATTTTTATACCTTTTAATATTGTAAACTTAAAAAAAGTGTTACATATATATTAATATTGCTTTGAATATTATGTAAAATTAAAAAAAAATTATTTTATATAAAATCCGGTTCAACCGGGGGTTCAACCGCGGTTGAACCCAGTTGAACCAGTGAACCAGTACCTTCACCGGTTCAATGTCCGGTCCGATTTTAAAAACATTGATTAAAACTCAACTAATTCGTCATTATCATATAAAAGTATTTTTTAAGTGCACGAGAAATACAAATAGGAAGAATGGAAACACAATTACTGGGTCCGTAGGATGTATGACATCCAAACAAGACATTAACTTATTAGATATAATAGCTGGAGAAAAGTGCCACACGATAATATACTTAGACCAATCAATGGAAGGAATAATTAATCATAGCTTCCATATATAAAAACAATAAAAAGAAGGCCACCATTGTCGGTGTTCAACTGTTTAGGTTATAGTGTAAATAACACCGAACTGTTGGCTTACGCGCAAGTTTGATGGCGATTTGATTCTTGATTTTATTTTAGAAATGTTTAATATAAAAATAATTGTTTGGACTATGCTTCAAAAAATATTTTAGTGATTGTTTAATGTTACAAATGTTATATTTTTAAGTGTTCAAACATCAATAAACATTAAATTATCACTGCTAAATATTTTCGTGAAGTGACGCATGATATATAGTTAAAAATAAGGTTTGAGCGATTACTTCATATCAAAACGGTCAATTTAACTGATTCGGTTTAGAGTTTTGATAAAACTAAAAGAACTTCTTAAAATGACCGAACCAACCTATGTTAAATCAGACCAATCAGGTGTCTTAAGCCTATGTTGATTGAACGGTTCGATTATAGTGGTTTAACAAGAGTTTATTGGATGTGTTTTCAAGATCTTACTTCCTCCAATAATAGGGCAGTGGATGAAACCAACAATTAGCATGATGGTGTTAGTTGCCATCACAATCAAACTAGGGAATCAAACAACACATCCAAATTAGGGACCACTTTCAAAATGTCGAAGTGGGAAGATACATACACCAACATAAAAAAAAGGAGGAAGCTGTGATTATATATGTAGAATTTCATACACCAAACCACTGTCATTTCAAGCATCACCAGTATCCCACTACATTGCTATTTTACCACAAAAGCTAAAGCTAAACCATCACTATGTACTTCAGTATTTACTTCCACCAGTATCCCATACCCAATGCTACATACCAGAAAAGCTAACGCTACCACCACAAGTAAACAAAATATGCAAAGAATTTACAACGAAGCATCATCATTTGCTCAAAGGTACTTCGGCAGAAGCAGCGACAACATTATCCTCTGTGAGACGCCAAATTTAAAAAGTGAACTGAGTTAGATTCATTCTTCATTTGTTCTTAGAACAACATAAAGTACTGCAAATTTATCATACATAACATACGATAATCTCCTGAAAAATAAATTAAGACTTACTTGGAATAGCATGGAAAAAAAAGAGAGATAAGAAACGTACTATTCCCTTCATTAGTAAAAGGATGAGAACTCAAAGGGACATGAGCAGAAGTAGAGACTGCACTATCCACTATGCGAGGACTTGGATTATATTCATTCTAAATTCATTCTAAAACAAACATCTTGTGCTGTAAATTAATCATGCATAACATAGCATATTCTCCAGAAAACTAAACTAGGACTTTTACTTAGAATAAATGAAAAACAGGATGAGAAGAGAATCCTACCATTCCCATGGTTGGTGCTTAGATGAGTACACAACGAGACATGAGCAGAAGCAGAGACTGCATTATCCACTGTGGAACACAATTTACACAAAGAATTGAGTAAGATGCATCCTACATCTATTCTTAGACCAAAATACTGTACTGCAAATTAATCACATTGCATAGCATAATCTCCTGAAAACAAAATTAAGTCTTCTACTTGTAAGAAAAAGAAAAAGGAGGAAAGAACAAAGAAACCTACAATTCCCTTTGTCAGTGCAACAGGAGACCCCGAAGGGACTTGAGCAGGAGCAGAGACTGCATTACACACTTTTGGATGCAAAATTTGCACAGAGTCGAGTTAGATTCACTTACATACATTCTTAGACCAAAAAAATGTACTGCAAATTAATCATACATGATACCGCATGATGTCGTGAAAATAAAATTAAGACTTTTGCTTGCACTAAAAAGAAAAAGAAGAGAAGCCAATCATTCCCTTCATCACTGTAATGACAACGACTCAAAGGGTCATGAGCAGAAGCAGAGACAACATTACCTACTACAGAAGACAAAATTACATAGAGATAGATTCATTCAACATACCTTCTTAGACCAACATCTTAAACTACGAATTCATCATTCATAGCATAGCATAACCAACTACAACCAAATTAAAACTCAATCATGGAGTAAAAGAAGGAAAGAGAAGAGAGGAGAAGCCTACCATTCCCTTTGTCGGTGAAAGAATGAGGACTCGAAGGGACTTTAGGAGTAGAGACAACTTCATCCACTGTGGGAGGCAAAAATTTACACAGAATTGAATTAGATTCACTCAACATGGATTCTTAGACCAGCATATTGTACTGCAAATTAAAATTAGTAATAATTTGAAAAGAAAACAAAAACAGAGAAGAGAAGCCTACTGTAACCTTTGACAGTGCTATGATGATGACTCAAACGAACTTGAGCAAAGCAGAGACAAATTTACACAGAATTGAGCTAAATACATTTCACATACATTCTTTGATCAACATACAATATTGGAAATTAATCATACATAGCATAGCATAATAGACCAAAATTAAACTTTTACTTGGAATAAAATGAAAAGGAAAAGAAGACTACCATTCCCTTGGTCAGTGCTCTGATTAAGGCTCGAGGGGGCTTGAACAGAAGCACTGATAACATCATCCACTGTGGGAGGAAAATTGAGTTAGATTCATTCCACATACCTTCTAAGACTAAAATGCTATATAAAAAATAAATCATACAAGGAATAGCATTATAAAACAAAATTAAGATTGTTACTTGGATTAAAATGAAAAAAACGAAAAAACAGAGAAGAAAAGGGGAGCCTACTGTTCCCTTTGTCAGTGCGATGGTGACTCAAAGTGACTTCAGTAGAAGCAGTGACGACATCATCCACTGAGGGAGGCCAAATTTACACAGAAGAGTTAGATTCATTCTACATACATTCCTATAACAACGTACATAATATAGTGCAAACTTGTCACGCAGAGCACGGCATAATCTCCTGAAAACAAAATAAAACTCAGAATAAAATAAGAATAGAAGCCTACTGTTCACTTCATCAATGCTACAAAAAGGACTCGAAGGAACTTGAGCGGGGGCAGTGACAACAAAGAAATGAAAATAACATATTATACAGCAAAAAAAATCATATACACAATAGCATAATAAAACAACATTAAAACTTACTTGGACTAAAATCAAAAGAAGAGAAGTAAACCTACCGTTCCCTTCAGTATGAGCATAAGCAGGAGCATAGGCAACATCATGAGCAGTGGCACTTATTGAATCGAAGACCTCCCTCAAATAAACCTTAATACGATGCTGCGCTTTGTCCAGAGTATTAATACGAGACAGTCTCTGAGCGGTTTCCCGATCCCATAGTGCCGCTTCGACTTCCTTTCTCCAATTAGCTAATCCGGGAGAAAGAAGGCCGGAGGAATCCGACACCTCCAAATCCTTAATTAACTTCCACCATATTCTTCTAACAGAATCGAAGTATTCGGCCCACGAGCGAGACAACCAGCAGAGAGTTCGATGAACTGCGACGGCGGAAAAGGCTTCCCGCAATGCGTCGGAGGGAGGAACACCTTGTTGGCGGTCCATTTCCTCGATGATGACAAACGATCTCAGAATATCATCAGTAACCGAAAACATTGAAGTCCGCTTTTGAATTGATCGGAGAATCGAGGCTTTAAAATGAAGGAAAAACGTATTATAGTCACCGTCGTCCCGGCCATTGTTCCCGTTTGTCTGATTGTAGTATTTGTTGAGCAGGCGTAAAACATAAGGATCCTTCTCTTCGGTAAGCAACAAATTGTCCATTTTTTTCCAACTGATTAAACCTGCAATAAGTCGAAATTGAAGCCCTAAATTTATATTGCTGGCTTTCGAATATTTTCGGTATTTAATACCGTATAGTTAGGGGTTATCTCATAAAATGCATACTAATATATTGTTAATATACGGCGTTACCGGAAACACAATAAAATATTTAATAAAGTCAGTTTAGTATTATCAAAAATGTTGATTAATAATAATGTTATAGGTAGAAATTATGAAGAAATATTAAAAAAATTGGCAATCGGTAAACTTAGCTTGTCAGTAGATATCGATACCTTGCAAAGAAGTATCGATACATAACAATATAACAGGTTGAAGTTTGACAAAACCGGTTTCAATTTGACAAAACCGGTAGAGATACATGAATTGTTGAAATTTGTATTGATACTTTTCTAAGTATGTGCACCAAATTATCGATACTTTTCTATATGTGCACCAAATTATCGATACTTTAGGAATTTAAAAGAATTGCAATGATAGTGCTTATAAAGTATCGATACTTTAGAAACATATATCGATACATGACAATATAACATGTTAAAATATGACAAAACCAGCTTCAATATGACAAAACCGATAAAGACCTACCGGATATGTTGAAGGTATTAATACTTTTATAAGTATATGTATCATATTATCGATACTTTATGAATTTAAAAGAATTGCAATAATAGCACCTATAAAGTATATATACTTTAGAAACATGTATCGATACATGACAATATAACAGGTTAAAATATGAAAAAATCGGTTTTAATATGACAAAACCGGTAAAGCGCTACCAGATATGTTGAAGGTATCGATACTTTTATAAGTATATGTATAATATTATTGATACTTTTAAAAGAAAAAAATGAAAATGTATCGAAAATATCGATACCTTACACAAAAGTATCGAGACTTGGGTAATTGTATTGATTAAATATAAATAACATATCGGGTTAAAATATCAAAGACTAGCTACATTTCCTCTGAAAATAGTGTTGACAGTCGTTTTTGTCCAAGTTTTATTTATAAGTATATTATTATTATTATAATTTTATTATTATAATTTTAATTATAATTTTGGTTACAGGCCAAAATGCAAAGCATATTTAATCCAAGGCCCAATTAAAACCAAGGCTCGATTACAACAAAACCCAGAGCCCATGTTACAACAAATCCCAGCAGACCCAGACCCGATTCAGACCTAAATCTGACCCGAGCAACCCAACTGGCTTAAGAAGCATACCCAAGCTTGGTTAGAGTTTCACACATGTTCTAACGCCGCAATAGATCTCAATCGTTGGATCTCTTCATATCCAACGGCCCTAAACGTGACCAGCAAAAACCCTCGGATTTTCATTATAACCCCAAGGCTATTTCGGTCACTGCCATAGAGTGATGACACCCTCGCCGTCATCGCGTCCAAATACTCCAACCAGCAGTTGCCACGACGCCACTACCTCATAACTGGATCAAAGAGATCTGGGTGCATTTAATGCACTCAGTCTATCCACCGCACAGATCACTGTCCCTATGGTGAGTCTGAGTCACCACCATAGCATCGGTGACTCACTGGGGTGCACTCCATTAACCGGTCTGAAAAGGGACTCGAAGAACCCTATAAATAGAGTCGAACCTGCAAAGAGGAAAAAAGAGAGGAAAAAGAGGAACAATCAAGCAACCAAAACCAGTAAAGTATAAAAAAAAAGAGTGAGGAAAGCCTTACCGTCGTCAGAGAGCCCAAGCGTTGTCGGAGAAGTCGAACTTCGAAGGTATAAATCTTATATCCACTTCGATTGAGGGCATTTTAGGGGTAAAGGTTATCGGATTCAACTTTAGGATAAAAAGAGGGTTAATTTGGTGTACTCGGGTGATTTTCGACCACCGTGAGTGGTGGGTGGTGGCCAGCGACAGGTGTCAGTGCCGACATACGGTGGTCGGATTCCCTCCGACGAGGGAATCCTAGAGAGGGACAATAGCTTCTCTCTCTAAGAGAGAGAAGCATTTTGAGAGAAATGAGTCTTTAAGCCTCTTTAGGCCGGTTTAGGGCCTATTTATGCCCCTCCTCGAACGACGTTGTTTTGGGGAAGGGCCTGCGTGTAATTTCGAGTATGGGGAAATTGTATTTGTAATCCTTGTAACTTTGTAATCAATCAATTTTGTCACTGAAAGCATATTTCTGTATATTCTAATTTAGTTTTCAAGTTTTATTTATTTTTATTTTAGTCATTAATTATATATATATATATATCTTAGGATAAATAATACATTTAGTCCCTTATATTTTAATGGTTTATATTTTAGCCCCTATTAGTAATAAAAGCTAAATTACATTATTAGTACTTATATTTCATAATTTTTCGAAATTAGGATTATTAATTTAGATATTTTATAATTTATTCCCTAAGTTTAATATTTTAACATTTTAAATAAATATAGAATTGTTTATACTTATAATAAACAATATATTAAGTAGTGATTTAGTTTTTTTATTCTTATAAAATTAAATATAAATTTATAAATTTTACTGCAAAGAAAAATTAATTAGTAAATAATGATACCAATTTTTTTGGCGTTGTGGGGGTGTTAATCATTCCCCACACGTAACTGACTCCCGGACTCATTCTCTGGTAAGCAGACCCTTTGTTGTGTTATTTTAATATTATTCTAAGGAATTTTATTAAAATAATATAACATTTTGGTGACCAATCACACCTTAATAAATGATTGGTGGCGACTCTACAAATTAGTGTTCTATCTTATGCAAGAAGTTAAACACTTACTTCAGACAGTTACACTTAGGTGTACTATTTGTTTTTTTTTGTCGCCGGGCAGAGAAACGTCTCGACAGCTTGGAGACTCTGCTGGGGACATTTTAAAAGAGAGTCAAGCCATCAGTTTATTAATTAATTGTCTTTGCAATAAAATTGTAAATTTGTGTTAATTTTGTTTTAATCTTTAATTATTTTAATAATTGTACTAACTTGTTTTTTTATGTGTACAAATTTTATTTTGGGTCTTTAGAATAAAATAGTAGGATGTACATTATTTTCCTTACTATTTTTCCTCACACACTGTGCACTGCATTCATGACATGAGCTAAAACCTCGCTCTTATCCTGTTTAGCTTGAATGAGAAACTACTCCCTCGTGTGGTTTTTACCTCCGTATGGGATAGGGGACCATTCCTTGAGCTCACACCTTATGTTCCTCGTGTGGTTTTCACCTACGTATGGACATAAGGAAGTGTGTTCCTTCGAATTTAACTTAATCCGGAAGTCTATAATGGACCAGGATTGAGGGTTTGGCAGCCCAAGGGGGCATCAACAAAGGACAATTCATTGACCCTTTTTCCTTAGAGCCAAAACCAGCATGTAATAAACCTAAAGCTTGAATCTAGGCAAAGCCTAACCCGATTAAGTCCTGTAAGGTTAGCACACAAGGAAAAACATATTGTGTAACAACCCAAGTATCGGGTAAGTGACCAAATTGTAAGAACTTCAAAACTCAGTGGTTAAATTAGAATAAAGTGATAAGTTTAGTGATTTATGGATGAATTTGTGTTGGGTATTATAGCAAATATGGAATTATATCAAGGGTAAAATGGTAAATTATAGGGAAGGATATTTTTAAATGGTTATTATATTGGATAAATATGAAGTAAAAGGAGATAAGGGTTGGTTATTCATCTTACTTTCTTCTTCTTCAACAAGAACTCCATCATAAAGGTAAGGATCTAAATTTTTTTATTTTCCTTTAAATTTTGGTTGGGTAATGGAAGTTTGGATGTTATATAAGCTAAAGGAAAGCTTGTATAGCATTAAAACAACAAAATGAGTATGTTAGAGATGGATTTGTTAAATGGGTTTTTAAATGGAATTTTTTTATGGATGAGTTTTTGAAGTTTGAATAAGATTTTTGACTTGTCAATAGTCTAAGTAAAGGGTTAGGAGTGTTAGAATTGGTTAATAACATATTTGGAATTTGGGTATGATTTGAAGATTCAAGTGTTCAAATGAGAATTTTGGTTGTTTGAGAGTTATAAATGTGTACAAGGGGGTTTGGAAGTTTAAAGGTAAGTTTATAAACTTAAAGTATGTGTTTAGCAGTGATTTTCGGGTTGAAAATGGCCATTTTGGGTCTAGTGTATCGATACCTGTTAAGAGTGTATCGATACCCTTAGAACATAGAGTATCATATGTGTATCGGTACACTGAGGAGTGTATCGATACCCCTAAAACATCGAGTTTCATTTGTGTATCGGTACACTGAGGAGTGTATAGATACCCTTGCAATTTCGAATGCAATTTCGGTATCGGTACATGTATAGGTATCAATACCCGTAAGCATGAAATAAAATATAGGGGTTATTGTATATCAATTTATTATGATTCGATATAATTGAGATGAGATTGATATTAATTCTAGATTGTTTGTGTAGTGACTAAACGCAAGTGAATTTCCAGTTAGCTTGGTATTTGAACATCGATTCGAAAGGATTTGGATTAGACTTTAGTGAGGCAAAGGTGAGTGCAACTTCTTTTTTCTTAATAGAATCGAGGAAGGCTTGCGATAAGCTAACCTTAGTGTTTTCAATCGAAAACTATATATTTATTTTATATTTTATTTAAATGTTTTATTCAATTTCCAATTTCTACAAATTATGTATTATGACAATGTTTTATTAACATATGAATCTTGAAAATGTGAATATGAGCTTCAAACCAGTGAATGTGAATATACTTTATGACAGAGAAGTTATGTGAATAAGAAACACTTTAAATAAGGATTAAACCTAATTACGTGATTAAAAGCCCATAGTATATGTATGAGGATTAAAGGTATAGTTGGCATGCTAAGAGTCGAGGATCTATGTGGTCCTTCGGGATAATTATGTGGTCTTTCGGGAAAAATATGTGACATTTCAGTGCAACCCTATATGACACTTCAGTGCAACCCTATGTGGTACTTCGATGCAACCTATGTGGTCATTCGGGACAATTATGTGGCACTTCGGTGAAAATTACG